AGGAAGGTTGAAGAATGCTTCAGTGCCATATTCTCAAAGATATCCTCCTATTTTACCTAAGGGTTCAAGATTAAGTAAAATTTATTTTGAAAATTTACACAGGAAATTATTTCATGTTGGACCACAAGGTCTGCTAAATGCAGTGCGCTTGAAATTTTGGCCTTTAGGTGGCCGTAGTCTCGCACGTAAAATAGTACATGAATATGTAACGTGCTTTAAATGTAAGCTCACTCTTTCTTCACAAATTATGGGTAATTTGCCTAGTGAAAGAGTTAATGTTTTCAGCTCCATTTTCTATTACAAGTATTGATTTATGTGGGCCTTATTTAGTGAAATTTAAAAATCAATGTAAAAGTATTCTGAATAAATTGTATATTTGTATTTTTATATGTTTTGCAACAAAATCCATCCATCTTGAGACACTAAGATTTGACTTCCGATGCTTTAATTGCAACACTTAAACGTTTTACGAGTAGACGAGGCAAATGTTTCAAAATTTATACCAAAAATGCTACTAACTTTCTTGGAGCGAATTCAAAATTGAAAAAATTTTATAAGCTCATTATTCAGCAATAAAATCACTTGATTAATTGATTGCATTATCCTACATACATTAATTTCCCAGAAAAAGAATTAGCTAATTATTTTTCCACCCAAATCGCCTCACTTCGGTAGACTTTGGGAAGCTGGGATAAAATCGGTGGAGTACCATCTTAAACGTACGATTAGCAATTTTCATTTCACTTACGAAGAATTCGAAACGATTGTCATTCAGATAGAAGGAATATTAAATTTGCGACCGCTTACTCCTCTTTCTAGTGATTCAGAGAGTTTCGAAGTTCTGACGCCAGGTCATTTCTTGATAGAGTGACCTATAACAGCAATTTCTGAGCCTTTTTAACGGATTTAAAGGAAAACCGCTTAAGTCGTTGGCAAAAAACTACAAAAACTATACAACTTATTTGGAAAAAATGGAAGTCTGATTACTTGAATACTTTACAATCTAGATCAAAATGGATGGTTGAAAAAAATTATCTGATGATCGGCCAAATGGTTTTGATTAAAGAAGATTTTCTGCCAATTAACAATTGGCTTTTAGGGCGAATAACATCATTGTACCACGGTTCTGATGGAAAAGTCCGTGTTGTGAAAGTTCGTACCAAAACAGGGGACTTTAAAAGGACAATTAATAAAATAGCTGTATTGCCTATTGAAGTTTAGTAAGTTGTGTATTATGTTACTCAGTTGTTAGTAAATATATTGAAAATTATTTTTCTCAATAATTTTGTATTCTTGTTTACAAGTTTCCATGTTTTGTTTACATATTTTATACTTGTTTACATGAATAACTGAAACTTTAATATTGGTATTTCATAATTAAATTTATGTTAAGTTCTTGCATGTGAACATAGCAAGGCCGGGCGGGATGTTAGCGCATTTTTACGCCAATGAATCTCGCCAAATCATCGCCTCCTATGACTGAGGCAGCAGACTTAAAAAAGAAATCTAACCGATCTGACGTGAGCAATTACTTGTAACCGAAGCTCACAATTAAATTGTATTTGCTTCACTGTAAATATTTGTATATGATGTTTTTCTAAATAAAATAATTAAAAAACGAAGCAGTGAAGCTGGTCCGTTGATAAAAAATAACCTTTAAGAAAAATAAGTTTATTCAGCAATAAAATCACTTGATTAATTGATTGCATTATCCTACATACATTAATTATATGAGTACTCGAGTACGGTTGTAGACATTTATATATAGACAGTAATTTTTGGATGCATAATGTATTTATGTATCATAGTTTACATTGATTGCATGAATTCATATAAACTTAAATACTTATATACATTATTGCTTGAATGCTTAATTACTTATTTTATTACTGCTGCAATTCTGGCACTAGTGGTACTCGTTAGCACTATCACTGGTGGTAGTACATCATACACCTGCTCATACAAGCACTGTGGAAGTGTTTCAAGATTAAGACTGACATAGATCTTACTTAATGGCTGCAATATCCAGTCCTGATGACATTAGCAGATTGATTATATTGTAGATTCTCTGTCGTAGAGCTGGATTTCTAAATATATAAAAATAAGTCTCAATGGGTTGATGTTGGCGGAAGACATTCTGATACGGAACCTTTCGGTTAGTGGACATTCCGTGATGTAGTTAGTGGTCAGGGCTTCCTTGTGTTCTGCAAATGTAAAGGTCCGCATTCACAGTGGCTCGGGTGAAGAAATACTCAGTGAAGGGCCATGTCCATTAATATATCTAGTAAGCTGTGAGGCAGAGTAGTGTCAATTTATGCAGACTTTTACACATACAGCAGGAAATGAACAGATATTTATTAAAAAAGGATCAAGCAGATATTTTCATAGACCTATAGTGAAAGGAAGCCCAAAGTTTGACAGCAGTGGATGCTTTGATAAACAGAAGAGATTTCCACTCGCTAATAGATTATAAAAATAAATCACAAAAGATGAAAGAAACTGAGATAAGACACTACGAATTTAAACTAGTTAAGGGTTCTCCAGAGGGAAGATAGTCACCAGAGGGGGGAATACCAATCAGATTCATTAAATACAGTGTTGATAAAAATTTGTCCCTCTCAATGATTCAAGTTTTGTTAAATAACACACCAGCAAATGCATTATCGGATAGAGAAGTGCAAAGTAGTTTTCTCACAGAAAATTTTTTAGATATTTTATACAGTACATATGCCCAGTGTGTTTGGTTTTGCAGGAACATAAATAATTGCTACCAAGGCGAACAGTGTGAATGCATAGGAAAATTAAACTTAAATGTGCAGGTGAAAAATGAACACCAAAAAAGTGTGGTTTTCCTTGTAGTGAAAAATCTACAAGCTGTGATTTCTTAAACACTGCAGAAGCAAAGATTAATTTTTAGGAAACTACAGTATAAATTGGAAATGAATAAGCTGATGGAAGTAAAGAAGTACAGCTTCTGGCTTTGTACTTAAAGGAATTAAACACGATAAATCTAAGCTGGAACAGTTGGCAAGAAAATTTCCAGATTATTTTATAATACCCCAGGGTTGACTTAAAAAGTAAATTAAACAACACAAACTGGAAATGGCACAGTATGCTTGGAAACTAGAATCACACAATAAAACTTAGGGAACTCTGCTATGTGGCAAAATAAAAAGCAATGAGGCATGGCTCATGATCATCTTGAATCTTAGTTTGTGGAAAACATATGGCAAAATTCTGTTCTAATGAGAAAATGCTTTTGATGCCATATTAAAAGCAACTGCAGAAACATTGTGATGGGAGTTATAAAGCTAAAGAAGTACCAATATTTCAATGTGTTTTGAAAAAAAGTCCTTAAAGTCCACAAATAAATTTCCTATCATATACACCTTTTTCTTTCAACTCACATTCTTCTCTTCTATTGGCATTTTCTTTGTACATAATAATGTTAAAAAATATATAATAGTTTTGTATTCAATAAATTCTGATTAAACAATTGTAAAGTATATTATTTACACACAAAACAATTTTGATGAATTTGATGTAAAAATTAGCAATGGAAAAAATGTCAAATTGAATCATCTAAATTCAGAAAGACATGACATATAATCCACACAACCCTTGGGCTGAGTGGATAAGGCCACAGAATGCTAATCCTTCATCCTACGTTTGAATCAAAGCAAATGGGTTTGCTGTATTGTTAGTTTTTATGGTTTGCCTTATATGTAATGTGAATATCAGCTAGTTCCTTTAGGAAATCCTCCGCAAAGGTATCCCTTCCCTTAAGCAAATAGCCCTCATGAGCTTTGCCTTATTCCAATAACCTAGCCTAACCTTGGTCCCAAGTGCAAGTATTATAAAAGTTCTACTGCATATGGCATGCATTCAGTTCATACATACCATACTGCTTTTCGCTACCCAAACCTAATAATTACAGTACAAAGTCTGTAATCCGGACATCCGTTGTCCGAAATGATCTATAATCCGGACCTCAAAGCCACAAAATTACGCATGCATGTAAAGCGTTTACGCATGCACGTTTAATGCGCGCGTCTGCTATGCATGCGCGAAAAGCGTTTACCCATGCGTGCTTTCTATAGAAAGTGACACAGAGTTTATTGAAAATGAAAAAATTTCTATTGACAAGTTAGTCGGTATTCTCGACGCAACAATTACAGGACTTGAACAGTGGAACTTTGTAACTGAACAAGAAATTATGTCTGTTTATAGAATTAAACAGAAAGTATTAGCACAAAAAATGAAGCAACTTAAACTACTTACATTGAAAGAAATGTTTAATAAGGTAAACAAATAAATATTAAGCTTTTTTTTTATATAAATTTTGATACTATTTAGATCATAATTGCTCTTTATATCATAAACTATGGTTTGATATTTTTAATTACATAATTTCTGCATGCCATCTTACCAGATTTAAATTGATGATCTTTAATCCGGAATCGCCCGGAAGTCCCGACGAGTCCGGATTACGGACTTTGTATTGTATTTAGAACTTTAAACATAATACTTATGCCATAAATTTTGTGTTTCCTCGTGGCTGAAACCAACAAATATCTCAATTAAAAAACTTATGTAAAAAACGAAAATTAGTTCAAGGACTTAACACTTTATCCAGACTAACAAAAAAAGGGATTTTACATTTCTACACATACATATAATGAATCAAATGAAAATTGCATATTAGAATTAATTCAGATAAGTACTCTGATGAAATTCAAAATACATATGCAGATATATTTAATTACAGCTCACAGAAATATAATATGAAATGCTAAGAGATATAAGAGATATCTGGAAACAAAACAAAAAAATCATTAATTATATTCAGATGATTTATAAAATAGCAATTACAGAAATTAACAAAACAAAATCCTACTAAAACAGAAAAATTCAAAAACTGCATATAAATATCCTTGTTTATTATTATTTTTTTATTTTCAATTTCCTTATTAAAATATGAATTTATTGCAAACTCTTACCTTAGCGCTATTTTTTTGCAAGGAAGAAATTGACTGAAATATTCGTCCCTTTTTCCTTTTAAGTCTGACTCCAGGCAAGACATGAGTAATAAACACTCATGATAAAAAGTTAGCAAAAACACACCGAAAGTATACATAAAGAGATCAAAATATAAATTCCAAGCAGTAATTTTCAACATTTTGGAAATAAAAATCTATTAATTAAAAATGGAAATTTATCAACTTGCACAAATCTTTAAAAGTGCAAAACTCACTTTTCATCTGCATCATGAGCTTTCTCTCTAGCTTCATGTGCCATATGTTCTTCTTCAAAATAAAGTTTTTTGGTCTTTTCTATTTCTGTAACACATGTTTGTATTTCCTCATGCATTTTTTTCAAGTTTTCAAAACACTGAAATGTACAACACCACTGTATTAGATCCACAAGAAATTTGAAAAAGAATGAAACTAAGATTTATAACAAGTAATGAACGTAATGCAAATTGAAACATCAAAAAATAATGAATGAAATAATTTGAATTCTATGTGTCTATGATTCCCGATTTTTAAGAAGAAAGCAGCCTTAATTTATTCTAGGAGAAAGATGATACTTTATACTCTTCATGATCTGTTTTTTTAACTGTTTATTTATCAACAACATGTTTTTAATACATCTTAACAAACAAATATTAAGTCTTCTAAATTCTAAGAATAATTTTTAAAAACTAGAAATTAAATTCAACCTTTTTTGCCACTTGTAATTTGTATAATCGCAAAGATTTAGCTCCTTCAGATACTTGTTGCTGATATACTTCCGTTGCTGCAAGCCTCGCTTTTGCTATTTTTTCAGTTTCATCTAACATGGTTTTCCACACACTGTAGACAGTCCTAGAAAAGTAATACATTTTACACAATAAAATGCACTGCTCTTTGAGAAAATTATGTCATCAGGAAAGAAATAATTTATTCTAATGAAATTTTACACTACAAGTAACATATTAAAATACATAAATGATAACATTAGTCAAAGCTATTGTTTAAATATTTGTCAAAAACCTTAATAATATATGAAGCCATAACAATGAACATTAATAACAGCTTTTACAGAATTGTGGTCTTTTGTGGATAAGTCTTTGCAAGTCTAGTGGCAAACAGTTTTGTGGATAAGTCTAGTGGAAATAGTCTTCTGAATGCAGTAGCAAAAGTAACTGTGAATTTTGGGTTTTAAAATCCAATAATTTTTCTTGATGTACTACAAGTAACTGACAGTTTCTTCAATGTAAATCAGGCAAGATCATGAAAGAAAGACAAGAACATCCACAGCTATGCGTTTGCTATTTGACCATGTTTGAAAATGCACTCAGACACCCAATATACTCAGATACCACAAAATACCATGATATAACCTACATATTTCAAATCAAAAGCTGAACAGTAAAACTATAAAGCTAATGGCGAAAACACATAAATTTAAACATATTATCTATGCTATCATCACAATAGGAGCTCTAACTTTACACTGGAAAGTTTAAAGCTGATAACATATAGGGATCACTACTGATCTAGGGATTTTCACAAGTATAAAAGACCTCTCTTTTAAAGTAAGGATGATTAAAAAAAAAAAAAAAAAAAAAAAAAAAAAAAAGCTCTTAATTAGGGCAAATTTTTCTAGAGGATTTTAAAATAACTCACGTTACAATTTCACATGTTCAGTTAAGTGCTGCTGGAAATTTTGTTTCTTCCCCTATTATATGATTTTCCTTAAAAAAAAATCATTTAATTGTTTTGTTGCTGTATTGAGTGCTTTCATTTATTTATAACTGATCCCCCACTCATTTGTAGACTGCACCCCCCCCCCAAAAAAAGAGAGAGAAAGAATTTAAAAACAAGATAAAATATTTCAAGTTTGCATACTGAAACCATATTTAAATATAAATAAAAGCAAGAGTGTTTGCAGATGATTCACCTGTTTCATTAGTTGGAGCTGAATAAATGGCTTGACTTGGACTAATAGCTTTGGAATATATGACTAAATGGCTTTTGGAATAAATGGCTTGACCTGGACATGAAGATCAATCACTAGACAGCCTCTACTGGCCTTTTCTAGCATAACTAAATTTATACCTTATTAGACTTTGTAGACTCCTAAGCTATGGTTCCCATATTATTATTAAAAGAAACACAACAAGTTCCCCATGTACCACATAGTATCACATGGGGCTTACAGAAGTAAGTATGAAACACAATACAAAATAAACAGAAGAGAAAACTGAAATAAAATTAAGGATGATTACGAAGTTTTACAATGAATTGACAAAAAGTGTTAAAAGCACTTCTCTCGGAAATAAATTTGTAAAACTCTGGAGGCCAGTTAATATTAGAATTTTTCAGTCCCAGTTTCAAGACTTTTCTTTCACTCTCATATTTAGGACATAGAAGAAGCACATGTTCAACATTCTCCTCGCCGCCGAGACCACAGTCACAGACAGACTCAGGACTCAACTTAAATCTGTTCAAATAACTTTTAAAATTCCCATGTCCAGTAAGAAACTGGGTTAAATTGTAATTTGTGAAGAAATGATGACATGACAATCTTATTTTAATAGAAGGGAAAAATCTCCTAGTTAAACTCCCTTTATTTGAATTAATGAATTCGTGATTCCACGACTCCACAATGCTTTCATACATGACCTTCTTATAAAAGGAATTAGGGATATTGACAAAAGTGTCAATTTCCCGCTTAGTCGCAGTCTTAGCAAGGAAATCGGCTCATTCGTTCCCAACAACACCTGTATGACCACGAACAAATGAAAATGTAACCGAAATATTTTTATCCTTTAGATTTTTCAGTTCTATGGTTCCCATAGATGGAGGGAAATGACAGCTGGTGAAAGAAGCGAAAGCACCTGACTATGCAAACATAAAAGCTGCACAAAAAGCCAGATTTTTCAAATATGTGACAAAATATACATTTCATAGCACACTGTAAAGTACACTACATGTACAGACCATATTACAAGTTGAACAACGTTCATTAAACACAATATTATTTGATAAAAGCAAAGAAATTTGATGTGAATGAAACACAGGAAACTTGATAAAGTTGCACTAAGCATAATAGCATAAAATACAGGGGTGGATGCTTATCTCAGAACACAGTTGAAGTAGATGTGAGTCACATGAGGACTCATGTCCTCTACAATTACACAGTCCAAATTGTCCGTAGAGTTGGGCAAATTACTCAAAATGTGCTTCCATAGCAGAATTTTTCATTTTCATCATTTATAAATTTATGAATAGCAGGAAATTTCAGATCTTTGTGTATGGCAGCATTTATAATGCAGTAAAGAGCACCAGTAATAATATTAAGAAAATTATTTTGAAGCCTCTGAAGAATATGGATGCACCTGTTAAAAGCATTTGCTCGTGAAGGTAAAGCACATGTAATTATTGACCTAACTGCTAGGATGTAAAGATGACTCTTGCAGTTAAGATTTAATTTTGAATTATCAGCAAGAACAGGCTTTATGAATAATCAGCAGTTTTGACTTTTCTGGTATTAATATTAATCTTTCATCTCTCACACCATGCTCCTACTTCAGACATTTTATCCTGTATTTTTTCTATTACATGATTGGCCTTCCAGATTTAGATAAAACTCAGGGGTTGTCCACATATTATTTACATTATCTTCAAATCTTAAGATATTAAAAGGGTATAAAAAGTCAAGAATTAAACTTTGGGGAACAACAGTATGAACAGTCTTGCTAAGCGAGTTGCAGTTTCGTTGCTTGACAGTGAATGATCTGTTAAGTAAAAAGATACAAATGATGAGAATTAGCTCCCTTTCCAGGTCAAGCTTATTTAGCTTATAAATAAGTCCCTCATGCCAAATACATGTGAAGACTTTTACCATGTCTAGCATGAGTATGGTAAAACTGTGATTGTTATGAATAGCACTGCTAATAAATTCATCCATGCACACACACTGCACTATTGTTCAAAATATTTTCCGGATATCAAACCAGTTAGTTATCTGTGAGTTTATATATATATGCTTCCCTAGTCTGTTCAAAATGCAGGGACAGCACTACATTTTTTGCCGTCAGGTGCTTATTCTGCAACTTCTAAATTCTATAGGCTAGTTTCTTCATAATTTCTAAAATTTTTGCTACCTGGTAAACTGCACTGGTTGCTGCACCAGCTCTGTCAATACGGTATTTTCACAGATCTTACCCGCAGATGAAAGTATTCTTAACCTGCTATAAATTTTCTGGATTCTCAAGATTATTGCTTTATTTCTGATTGCCAAATATATTAGCTTTCTTTCAAGCTTGAGGGAAATATGAGTTACACAAACATGCATTAAAAATGCTATTGCTGATAATTTTAATCAGACACGTTTTTAAGCCCTGTGTAAGTAGCTTGGTGGAAACCCTGAGCTTTCTTTGGGTTAAGGTTATAGATAATGCACTCACTTAAAAATTCTTCAAAAGTAGCAAAATTGCCACAGATTCTAGCAGAGGGATCATACAGCCACCTGTAAACTTCCTCAAAAACCATAGGTTTCAAATTGTGAGTCAGAGGTTTGCACGTTTATTCAAACGAACTGTTTGTCCAAGTGTTCAGAGAAGACATCAGGCTTTCAACATCTGTAAAAGCACATCTAGAGCTATGCTTCCTCAAAGAACTGGTGAGTGTGTTTCCTTTAAGTTTCCTCATGAAGAACCAAAAAGAAGCATCTTTTAGTTCTAATGATTCAATCTTTTTATTTCACAGACAGTTTCTGTGGTTCTTAATCTGTTTTTTAACAGTGTGACTTAGGTTGTTGATCTGAACTTTGATACTTGGGTTCCAAGTGAGATAATACCTTTCCCTTAACAGATTTTTGAGTTTGACATTCTGTCGGATATCTGTAAGAAGTCTAACAGGGAGAAAATTATTTTTCACAGAGATGGTTGCAGTACTAAATGTAGAGATTAAAACTTTGCACCTAGGTCTGTGGGGCTTTTTCAATATCTTCTCTAGATGTGAGCTTGCTTATATTTGGAGGTTTTGTTTGCAGAATATTAAAGAAAAGTCTCTAGTTTGTGTGACTTTTAGCATTCTCTTCCTCTACCTTAGGAGTACCTACGATATTTATAACAGGCACATGGTCAGAGTCCAGTTCAATAACGTTCAGCACTACTGGGATGTTTTTATTGCTATCTAGAATATCAGATTTGACCCTATATTGTCGGGTTTAAAAGTAGTCTCACTTGGTACATATAAGAAATCAAGAAAATTAGCTGTTAAAAGTTATGTATAATACTCCCATTATGGTTGATTGTATGACAGCCCTAGTCATAGTACTGTATTATCTGAATGTGCAAAGCATGATGTAAGAGTGTGCTTGATATAGCTAGCAACACCTCCTCCTTGATACCGTAAATGATCACATTTGCAACAGTGATAATTTAGAAGATCAATGTTATGTGAAATAGTAGCATGTATTTCCAAGATGAGACAAATTTCAACTGCATTACAAAGCAAACATTCCTGAAAGTTTTTATGTTTTTTATAGAGAACATACTATGCATTCTACAGGGAAATCTTCATCAGAGAAGAGTTATAAGAACAGTTTATTGATCTGGGGGCTGAATGTTCTGAGCTCTTCTGCCCAATTCTTGGGTTAGCTTTATCAGTCTTGATTCAAATGACCACAGCAGCAGATATAGCATTCATAGTCATCTTTGCCTCATTTATTTGTAGATTGCTGAGTTGAGTCCAAGAATTTAGCAGATTTTCCATATATCTTGCTGGTAAGGATTCTTTCAAACTATCCATGTGATGTTAAGGTAATGATTTTACCCAACTTGCTTTCAAGAAAGGATGAACTGATGCATCTG